TGAACTGGCGTTACACAAGACATTGTATGACAAGTGTTACGCCTCATTATGCTTATTTATCAATAGAAACACCTATGGGTACATGGTGGATCATAATATCACCGGTTGACCCATCTGCTCAAGAACGTTTAATTCAATCACAATGCGTCCCGATGGAATACTTAAATCAATACCATTATCGCAGTTAATTCATACGAGTCTTGATAGAATTACAACAATGGGGCATGTGGATGTAATTAATCAGTAGCTTTGTACTAGCTACCTAGACATAAATCATGAGAACAGGTTTTTGACATGTCATTCACAGCAACATATGTTACGTCCAATGCTACGGCTACTATTACCTTAATTTAAAGTATATATGAAGTTTCGTGGGAGCTCGCAGACCTAAAATATTTGTTTAACACTTCTGGCATCATTGTTTGAGAACAAAACATGGTATGGAAAACTGGACGTCCTTTTCTTTAGAAACGTGCCACCTACATTAGTATTAAACATTTAATATTTAATATAAAAATCCTGCACTGATTTTATACTTTAATTTGACTTAATTGTTAAAACTCTTTATGTGCGCTTGCATTGTTTTTGATTGCGCCTATTGTTTTCAAATTGTGAAGATTCTAATTTAAAAAAATGGGTTTCAGTCAATGTTGCGTACAAGGATTGTATAAACATGTATTAGACTGCATACCAGCCATCCCATCAAAACCACACATACGCATAATGATAATCAGGATTGTTATCAACTATTAATATTATACTTATATGACAGATAAAATAAATTTGTGGACAATTAGGGTAATAAACATTTTTCGCGAATGACCGAAATCTCGTTGAGAGCGAGAAAACCACGAGACTTGTTTGTTGCTCCTCCAATAGTGTTTCTTCCTCCTGCGTCATCACGGCCATTATTTCCCAACCTTTATAACCATTCATCTGGAACATTGGAAAAAAGTGAATACTGTTGTATTTGATGTTTGCCGTGCATGCATGGTAGCACGCTAAATGATTAACAATATCCAGTCTCTACGTATTATGCATCGACAGGGGTGCTATCTCCCGTTGATAAGTGTTCCTGTCTTGTCCATTGAGGAGATGCTAATTCAATTACTGTTACAGTAATTATCATCGAAGTTTAGAGTTCATTTATGAATGTACTCGTAATTAACTCAAGTATATGTGTATAGTAAATATATGTTGGCAGCAGCAACCCGCAAAGTTCCCCACTGAAGAATTCTATACATAGGAATGATTAATTCAATCAATCAGGAAAGATATATAAATATATCCAAAATAAGTACATTGGTTTTTTTGAAAGGATTTTGCCCCTAACCACATATTACTTCCAATCAGACCTATGTTGTGCATTTGCACCATCCTATCATGAATCTCTGTATGGGTGCTGTAGTAATCTGAGTCTCATATGCAATGACAATGTTTGTACAATCTTTCGAACTTCCAGGGGCAGTACATTGCTGTTGCAAATATTTCTCAACTTTCAATACCTATAGAGTAGGAGTGTGCGAGGATTATTCATTTCGGCACAAGAAAGATCAGATGACGTTGTACACTACAAAAGGTTACAATCGCGTTCAATCCACTCCGATAAGTACCTTAGTTAGCAGGATGAATGGAAGAAACGTGTACCATTGTCGAGAAGGGGGGTCAGTGGCGAGTCTATTATTGTTGAGCGTTTCGTATGGAATTCTAGATGTTTTGAACACAATAGTTCACAATAAGTTTAATATTATCAACAATAACTTAGACTAAATCTATGTATTATAAAGTATTGTGAGACTATAAAAAGAAAACAGTGTCGGGCATGAGACATAGCCAAACCCGTGTGACTATGCGTTCTAATTCTGCAAAAAAATTGTACCTTTCGTTGCGATGTTTTCAGCATGATACCCTAAGTGTAATATAATTTTAGACTAAAGCAATTCATAAACACGTATTGTATGGTTCCTCCAAACCATAGATCTGTAAATCTTGTACATACAACTATTCCCCCGGTGGCCATAGTGGTGATCTGAATGTAATTAAACATGACATTCTATAGTTGACCGCGGATAACGTCAAGAAGCCTTTTTTTACTTTGATCGTATAATTAAACCCAAGTCTTTATCTTTAAAAAAACGTTCAAACATCACTATTTTAGCACAAGCGTACACTTACTAAGTGAATCTATTGCTGACTCATCCAATTTGTTGACCAATAACTCGTTAAATAGGTGCAATTAAGATATTATACTGCAATGCCGCATACTAAATTTCAATTACACACTGATGTTTTTTTTACGCTGACGATGACGTTATCAGTATGACTGAATGCTTGATTGACAGCATATTTGTCGTGATTTCGAACACTGTTTGGACATTCCATTATGTATTAATTGTGCCCCGTGCTGGGCAGTATGTGTCTCCACTCAAATGAAGAACAATTACTTCAGAAACCGGTTTAAAGCAACAAATAATAAGAAGTAAACTAAACTATCAATTTCACGAACGTTAGGTATTTTTTGTTTTTGTTTTAAGCATCACTAAAGTTACTAAATGAGGTATATTGTTCACACAGATGATCAATATAACATGGTGTAGATAAACTTACTAACGAGATCTACTTCTTGTGGCACACATGATTGACAAAGTAGTGACACAGCCAGTTTAACATGTGGCATTCGCCGTATATTATTCTGATTCATATAAAATCAATTAGTTTCTGTTAGAAAGCCGAAGTCTACACCAGACAGATTTCATTGGTGGTGCCATCTGGGATCATCTGTGTAGCAGTGTTCTATATTGAGTCACAAGCTCACTATATCACTATACAAAAAAACTGTTGAATGTTCAAGAGAATGAGTGTTCTGTTTCAGCGAATCTAACAACTTCATGCAGTAAACATACTGCCCAAAGCTTAGTCACGTCACAACTCTATTGAGAGTGCATCTCACAATTATTTGTAATTAATCAGCCACCTGTTTCGGCACAGTCGGTGGAAACCATAATAGAGGCTGTAACGTTCTGTTATTCAATTGACTCAAAAACCATATACAACATTATTATATTACACCTATACATGTATTACTTAGCAGGACGACAGCCAGTGGCGATAGCTGCTCACTTGTGTTAATATATAGCCCACTATTAAACAAATTACCTGCTCATTAGTCGGGAACGTCATTCAAGCTATATCGATGCTGTTTTTATGATAATTGCGTGATTGACATGAATAAATTTACATATATTAATATGTGAATAAGGATAAATACGCGACTATGCTAATTATTGCAAGTAAATATATGTTACCGACGTTTTATTAACAATCATGTGGATCAAGGTCAATAGATGTCGTTCCGGTTGATAGTTTTCTCATTAAATATTACCAACGTTTCAATTAAGACCTGGATGTTTTACTGTAAATTACCCTTGTGCTTTCGCAGTGAATGAATGGATTCAATAATTAAGCGCCGCAGTTGCCTCGTCACTCCGTTTTCAATATTGAATTCATGTGACGTATAAGACGCGTGTTTACTCAAAAATCGAAAGCGCGCTGTGTGACGTCAGTGACCCTTTAATGCACATATTTAAACACGATTGGCAGGCCGGGATAGGCGTTTCCAAGCATTTCCAAACACTGAACCGTTTTTTGAACATGTCCTGTGACGTTTTACAAATAAATGTATCTATAACCGACAGTTCAACACATCAACTAACTTTGCGCGTTCACAGTGTTCGTACATCACCGGATGACGACACACCAGAAAGAAAATATATCGTGATTACCCCTCAAAACATCGACTACTCAAATCGGAACGACAAGACTGTAACAATCAATCAGTCAGTTATTTGCAGCCAATGCAACCCTAGATCCCGCGAAACTGTGCTAACAATATGCATATGTCATTAAACAAAACATTACCCAGTATATAGTTATGAGAATTAGTGCAGCATCTCTCACGAGTTTTGGCAGTTATACTTTTACGGGCGCCTATAAAATAAGATCCACGCGCTATAATTTCCATCACCTGCGTGAACCGCTACGTGTAATCAGCTAATTCAACATTAAAAGACCAATTACTTCAAATGACGACGCCAGTGTCGAGAATATTTGATACAGCACGTCAATCTTCATTATATTACGCAATTGATAGATTGCCCCTGTCGCTAGGCAGTTAGGTTTGTACATGGTTGCCATGAGAGCAATGATCATAACGGTTCGTCTAAGTGAGGTTTATTCGGAAAACGAATTTTTGATTATTGGACATTCATTTTTAAATGTGTCGTTCAGTAAACTATTAAATTCAATAATTTCTGCATCATATGTCTAACATAAAAACGTGACCTTTGACCTGATAATCAATATGCACTATGACAAACGGCTATATCAAATTCAGCGCAAATTATAGAAGATCTGTACATACTTGATTATTGGTTTTATTAAAGAAATCAATAGTAGTAGTGATTACAGCCGGGACCAGTTAGAAATCAGATTAAATGTGTAATAAAATAAGTCAACAATTGAATGTATTGATAAAACCAATATTTTGATATGCATTCACATGTTCACATGAATACTGATGCAAAGTCAATAATAGTTTTATATGTCACTGTATTGTTATTCATACAACGCACTGCTAATATTCACCCACAATCAGATACACCTTTCTTCCGAACTTTGATTTTTGGTATCGATGCTACACGACAAACTAATTAGTTAGGTTAGTCCCGACTTTGTTTATCAAAATCATTGAACCGATCGGAATTTGGTGAAAATGGTCGAGAAGTCTCGTTCGAAGTCACCTATATATGTTTTTCCAAGTTGAATACCTCCACTGCTTTCTCATGTTATGGTATAAATTTACACTAGGTGGAAAGTCATAATGCTTCCATCCGGTATGTTTGCTTAGATCAAGTATGAAGTTATTCATTCCTAACAGATTATATACCATATAATTTCCATGAATGTTAAACGAATATTTGTTTCTTTCTTCCTATTTTCAGACTCTCATCAGGGGAAGTTCGAAAGACGTCTGCTGAATCATTTGGTCAATGAAGACTACAACCCCTATGAACGACCAGTAGTCAACGACAGTGAGCCCCTCCGCGTGGAATTCGGAATAACATTGCAACAAATCCTCGATGTGGTAGGTAGAAGTACATATAGTTAAATAATTGCTCTATTGTTTGCAAGATGCATATTATGCACACACAGCACAAATTAACGACACTGCATGTTTATAAGTAATACCGACAAATAAAAGTTATTCTGGAAAGGAAAATGCATTATGTGATAAAACGGTAGTTGTATGTAAGCGGAGTACGCAAACAAATCGAAACATTGCGTACAGTAATAATAGGAGGTTATTACGATAATACCTCAAAGTATGCACGAAGACGGTACAACGGGAGTATCGACCGACGCGCAGCTTATGGCGTTACAGCGTAGCGTAATTTTGAGGTATTTTACGGGGTATTTTCATCCTACCATATTAGGAAATACGAATTCCAACTATGGAATGATTACGCGCGTAAGCGTCCTCTAATAATAAAAACAAACATGGCTGCCTGCAGGGTTCGACCAGACGCCACACAAATATGTTCGCTGATTCTGTTCTAAACTTTTTGGATTTCGGCACTCCCATGATCTCATGAAGGAAAAGATGTATAATAATAAGGCTATTACGAGGACCTCTCAAAATATGCACTCAGACAGTACGCCGTCGCATTGACCTCAGCTGCGCGTCGTCGATACTCCCGCTGTACTGTCTTCGTGCATACTTTGAGATATCCTCCTATTATTATTCCCGACGTTTATCCCACCACAGAGGTTTGGAAAAGATATGTTCCCATTAAATTATTAAAATACAATCGTGGTGATACAGAATATTGATTTCTAGCCTTCGCTGTGAATTTCAGATGTGTGTCAGGTTTGTTTTAATCAACATGATGTTTTGATATGTTTTCAAGTGGAAAGGTTGTGCTTCGCTTCCAGTGTTCTTTCGAGCATTTTATTATTAACTCGCCAGAACGGATATGTGATTGAATTAGATTTATCCCTTTCAGCGAAGTGTGTCGTTGGTTATTGTATCTGGCAGGCACGTGTACATTACGATATGGCGAATAACTATCTTGTGAATATTGGGTTGACAGTATGAACTGACGTTCAGCGATTGATCTGTAACTTCGCTCTAGGACAAACGTCGTGTATATTACCCATACGATAACTGCGTGTTTACATACTATGCTTTTAAAGTTGTTATTGGGTATTTCACATATTACCGGTAACCCAGTACTTATTATCTTTAAAAATATATATGTATATAGAAAAATACATGTTAAGCCATTATTTCAAGCACATTATCAGCATGTTTTACACAATTATAAGTATACATTTATAACATATGTTTTTTGTAACCGAACAAACCTAAATATAGATATGATAACACATTTGTACCATAGAAACCAACGGTAAATAGCTAAAAAAATCACCTAGTGTTTGGATGTTTGACATGTGTTTTGTTCGAAAAGAC